GCATTCACAAGTTTTGGGAGGGAAGCCAACCTCTGAGATGTTAAAGTGTTCCACTACAGTGGCTATTTTACTTACATATGTATACAATGCTGTGCGCTGGAGATGTAAGCAGTAAAGTGTATCTTAATAAAACTAAATATGCCGGGCGGTGGTGGCGCATGCCTTTAATCCCAGCACTAGGAAGGCAGAGGCAGGCGTATCTCTGTGAGTTCGAGGCCAGTCTAGTCTGGTCTACAAGAGCTAGTTCCAGAACAGGCTCTAAAAAAACTATAGCAAAACCCTGTCTCGAAAACAAAAAGAAAAAATAAAATAAAACCAAATATTGGTTAATACCAAAGACCACACACAGCTGGAAGTGTGCCCTGTCCTATAGGGATGGGAAGACGCCCAACTTTATGATAAAGAATACGGTGGGGACTGTCTCTCCTCCAGGACGCAGATCGACCAGGAGGGCTGGGCTGGCAGAGCATCTGGGAATCCCCTGTCGTGTCCAGACACTGGAGGCGGCAGCGTCGCATCACAGGGAGTGGTCCCACTGTGGGCAACATGGCAGCTCCTAGCCAGCAAACCCGGACCCGCTTCCGGGTTCCGTACCACTGGCCAGGCTACTTCCGGCAGCGCGATGGCTGGGTTCCCGGGACTCGAACGGAAGTTCCGGCGGGGGCGGCCGAGGGGGACGAGTGTGTGTCTGTGCGGGAGAAAGGGGAGACTCGCCCGACCGGTCTCGGAAGCCCCTGGGAGTGAGGTACCCAGCTTGGCGTGCGGCAAGGCTGCGAGGGTCCCGGGGCGGCGGCGGGGAGCGGCCGGAGGGCGCTGTCCAGTCCTGGGACTGCGGGGCCAGGGGCTGCGCGCGTGGCGGGAGAGCGGCTGCGCGCTGGGCAGTGGGAGACCCCATTGTGGGGCGGAGGCTCCCCCGGGTCAGTGCCCCTTTGTAGGCGGGTGGAGCCTGGGGGCAGGGTAGCAAATGCCACTGTAGGGATGTGATGACCCCGGGTCAGAACCCAAGTACCCACTGTGGAGAATGGGAGATGCCGGGTCATCCCATCTCACCCTTTGGAGAGTGGAAGCCGGGTGTAGGTGGGAGTTCCCAGAGCGGAGGAGGAAGGGGATCCTAGCTTAAGGCGGCAGGTGCATCCTGTGTGGGAAGAGGATCCTCAGGGTCAGATGCTGTGTGATCTTCCTACCTTGAGGAGGGGCAGTCGGGGTCAGAGCTGGAAGGTGGGAGCCTGTAGGAGGGCGGGGCGCCCTTAAGAAGACACTTAAGGGGCAGGTAGCGGAAGCTTCCGGAGTTTGGAGGATGCTAAGGATGGGGAGGGGCCAGCCAGCTTGATATTCTTTTGTGTTGGGAGTCCCAACACCTGTTCATTTGGAGACCCATTTGGAGTCAGTGGCAGTAGCAACAGCAGGTAGCCCCGTGGAGATGGGAAGGTCTGGAGCACAGTTTGTCGTGGAAGATGGCAGAAGGGAGTTGTTAGGCTCTCATGGGACCTGGGTGGCTTCCAGAGGCCCTAGGAATTTCCTACTGAGCCAGAAACTGCTGTGAATTCTGGATAGGGGCTGGAGGGGAAGAAGAGGGAGGTGGGTGGAACTGAGTCTGTTTCCCTGGCATTTTCTTTCCTTCGTCTCTTCTAGGGCCAGGACTCAGGGAAAGAGGGGCTCCAGGGTTCCAGGAAGGGACTTTGGAAGGGTGCCATTGGCACTCAGAGGCTTGTGGGGAAAAGCTGCAGGAAATGCCCTGCCTTTCCTTGTCCCCCACTTCCAACCCCTGTGCCTGTCCATCTGTGCCATGCTTGAGCTCTGGGGTTGGGTCAGAACCAGGAATGTGAGTTCTAGACCATGAGGATGGCTGCCCATGCTTCTCAACTTTGGGATAAGGCCAACTTTCTTTCTTGTTTTTTCAAGACAGGGTTTCTCTGTGTAGCCTTGGCTGTCCTGGAACTCATTCTATAGACCAGGCTGGCCTCCAAGTCAGAGATCCATCTGCCTCTGTCTCCTGAGTGCTGGGATTAAAGGCTTGTGCCACCAACACATGGCAAGGGCCAATTTTCTATCCCTCTGTCCCAGACTTCTCTTTGCTGGTATTTTCTCTCAGCTCAGAATCCAACCCTGGTGATGTGTGGCCTGGGGGTGCTTCTTTAACCAGGAGGCTTCTTTGGCTTGACTTTGTTCTTAATCTACCACCTTCCCTTGCGCAGGCCCAGCCTGCAGGGAGCCCTGCAGTGTATGTGTGGTAACACCATGTCTGTGCCCCTGCTCACCGACGCTGCCACCGTGTCTGGAGCTGAGCGGGAAACGGCCGCGGTAAGGACCCTGGGCCAGACTTCTGGGTGGCAACTGGCTGTAGGCAGTGTGGGAAACATGGAGGTGGCGGTATGAGAAGGGACTAGCCTGAAGCTAGGAGGGGGTTAATAATCTGTTGACTCCCACCTTGGTCTCCCCAGGTCTGGAGGGCGGGGGTGTGTGTGCTGGAGTTGGAGGGTCTAAACGGAACCTTTCAATCCCATTTTTGACTTTTTTTTCCAGGTTATTTTTTTACATGGACTTGGAGACACAGGGTGAGTGGGCTGAGGGGTGGGGGTGCTCCTTCATCAGGTGGGGCTGGAGGACCACTGTCCCTCTCAATCCTTCCTTTACCGGTGCCTCTTCTTCCCTCCCACAGGCACAGCTGGGCTGACGCCCTCTCCACCATCCGGCTTCCTCATGTCAAGTACATCTGTCCCCATGCGTGAGTGTCACCCCAACCAGAGAGGGGCTAAGGGGTGGGGGTGTCCTCTAGCCCTAGGCCTGGCTCTTTTCATCAGCTGCCTCCTGGGGCTTGGGCTTAAAGCAGTCAGGCCTTGTTCAGTTTTATCTTCGTAGAGTCTTAGAAATAGGCTCCAGTTTCTGCCTTCACCCCCAAGGCTTCCTAGACCCAAGACCTCCTAAACAGAGTATTTTCCAAGTACTCACCCTCTGAGCTGGACCCCATCCACGGGCGTTAGTCTCTGCTTCTCCATCCTTATCGCTGATGCCCCAACCACAGGCTCCAGCCCCACGTGGCAGGTTGCCTGGCAACACTTGAAACATAGGCTCTGCCTGCTGGGAGGGGCCCCCAAGGGCAGTTGTGCCCATGCCCAGGCTCTCTACTGATGCTTTGTCCCTCCTGAGACCTCCTGGCCACCCCTCCGCAGGCCCAGGATCCCTGTGACACTCAACATGAAGATGGTGATGCCGTCCTGGTGAGTGTGGAGCAGGAAAGAGATGGCAGCTGAGGTTGCTGTAGGGGCTGGCCAGCTCTTCCAAAAACTGCTGCCTCTGCTTGCCCAGGTTTGACCTGATGGGGCTGAGTCCAGATGCCCCAGAGGACGAAGTTGGTATCAAGAAGGCAGCAGAGAACAGTAAGGCTCCAGCCCCCACTTCACATCCCCTTCCCCTTCTCCCTTCCCGAAGCACTGGGCAGTGCCTGCTTGCTCCCTTTAAGTCCCCAGCAGCTTCCTCCACCCAGTCTTGCCCTTCCCACCCCCCAGTCAAAGCTTTGATTGAACATGAGATGAAAAATGGGATCCCTGCCAATCGAATCGTCCTGGGTGGCTTTTCGCAGGTGAGGAGGCTGTAAGGGGGAGGGGCTGGGTGTGTGAGCTGTTCCCTCCTGATCCATCATTCTCTTCTCCCCAGGGCGGGGCCCTGTCCCTCTATACAGCCCTTACCTGCCCCCACCCTCTGGCTGGCATTGTGGCATTGAGCTGTTGGCTGCCTCTGCATCGGAACTTTCCCCAAGTGAGTATCCATGTCAGCCCCTCCCCTCCTGAGGGTCCCTGTGGCCTGGGTGCTGTGCTGCACACAGCACTGACCTTGACTTGGAAATTCTTTCTGGCCCACAGGCAGCCAATGGCAGTGCCAAGGACCTGGCCATCCTCCAATGCCATGGGGAGCTGGATCCCATGGTACCTGTTCGGTTTGGGGCCCTGACAGCTGAGAAGCTTCGGTCTGTTGTCACACCTGCCAGGGTCCAGTTCAAGACATACCCAGGTGTCATGCACAGCTCCTGTCCTCAGGTCAGTGGGGATGGCCTCCTCCCATGCTCTCCCTCCTCCTTCCCGGAAGGAGCCTCACAATCTCCCCTCATCCCAGGAGATGGCAGCTGTAAAGGAATTTCTGGAGAAGCTTCTGCCTCCAGTCTAACGAGTTGCTGGCTCCCATTGAGGTCCCCCAGCTCACCAGGGACCCTGCAAACAAGCAGCGCACCATCTTGGATCTGAGCCGGTCGAGCCCCTGTCCTTTCTCTTCCCATCCTGTCTTCTTCCCACAGACCTCTGGGGCAGGTGGCCAAGGCTGGCCAGGCCTTCCTGCTGGCCTTGGCCATCTGGAAGTCAGCAGCAGGGGTGGGCTGCTTTCTTCCCCACTTCCCCAGAGGTGGGCCCCAGCAGCAGTATTGGAGGGGCTGTAGGCAGCGGGAGAAAGGGGCCCAGCTGCTGACCCACTCACTCAGGACCTCACTCACTAGCCCCGCTTTGGGCCCCCTCCTGCGACCTCAGGGTTTGGCCCGTGGGGCCCTTATGGGCCCCCCACCCCAGTGATTCTGCCCGGATAATCGTCTCTCCTGCCTCACTGCAGCTGCTTCTCTGTTACGAATGTGTCCACGGCCCGGGGCCCTTGCTACTGTGGGCTGCCTGCTTCTGGGCAGGCCAGTCAGTGAGGAGGTAGAGTCCCTCAGGGCCTCCCCTCAGCCCCTCCCCAAGGGGGGTTGGGCCCTGCCTCCCCATGGCCCTTCCTTGCAGGCCTGGAGTCTGCAGGGCTGGATCAAGGTTCAAGGGCCCCCTGCCCCCTGCTGTCTCACCCCCACTATGTCCCCACTCTAGGGCCAGGGAGGTGTGGGGGGAGGAGTTGTGTCTTGTCTTCTGTCTCCATGTGGTTTTGGGTGTTTTTCTTGTTTTGTCCTGGATTCCGATAAAATTAAAGAAATTGCTTCAACTCTCAGGCCTGCCTGATGTGGTGTGGGGTGACCATCTGTGAGACTCTGCCCCAGGATAAGAAAACGTTTTTATTTTAAATACTTTGAAAAGCTCAATCAGCAGTATAAGTTAGTGCCTGGGAGAGGCTATGGTCCCAGACCCCTGGCCCTCGCAGGCTCTAGGGGTCCCACGAGCTCCTGGACCCTGGAGGAGATGGGCTGGAAAGACCCAGGCTTCTTCCTGGTTAGTGGAGCCAGGCAGAGGTTGGCCTTGGAGGGCTGAGCAGGCAGCTGACATTTGAGGTAGGGTGGCCTCAGCTTGGCCCCAGAGCATAAGGGTACAGGGTCCTGAGGAGATTGGAAAGCAGGCAGCTGCTCCTCTTTCTTTCTGGTCCCTGGTAAGGAGGTCCTCAGGCCTGTGCCCCAAAGCCTGCCGGGTTCTGCTTCTGCCAGCGCCACAGATCTTCACCTGTGCAGACAGAGGTGGTCAGAGCTTGCCCGAAGACAGCCCAGGCCAGAGTTGCCCTTTCTAGCCTGTTCGTCACCCTTCCAGGAGAGGCCGACACTCACACATCCTGTCCAGCCCCAAGGCTGCTGTCCAGCCCAGCTCCTCGTGGGCCAGGCTGGGGTTGGCATAACAGGCTGCCACGTCACCTTCCCGCCGTGCCACCACCTTGTACGGGATCTGTAAGGAAGGTAGTGGATGCTTAGGTGAACAGGTCCTGGGCCTGAGGAACTGCCAGCGAGAGCTGTGTCTAGAGCAGCACCTAGCACTGAAGTTCAAGGTGGCGGGAGGCGGAGTGTGTGCTGGGGTGTGCTGGGGTGTGCTGGGGGCCTACTGCACGGGTGGGACCTACCTTCTTCCCTGAAGCCTTCTCCATGGCTTGGACCATCTGTAGGACAGAGTAGCCTGTGCCAGTTCCCAGGTTGTAGATCTGACCAGAGAACAGAGGATGTTGGATGGGGTGACTCATGCACCCCACATTCGCCCTGGATTCCAACCCTTGCCCTCACTGGCTTCCTACCCGGCAACCACATTGCTCCTTCAGCTTCTTCAAGGCTGCTATGTGGCCCTTTGCCAGATCCACCACATGAATGTAGTCCCTTACACCTGTGGAGGACGTGGTCAATGGGAAGTTTGTGCCCCCAGTCGTCCCCCCTTCTTCTGACTCTTAAGCTCACCTGTCCCATCCTCTGTGGCATAGTCATCACCAAAGACATTCAGAGCCTCTCGTCGCCCAATTGCCACCTAGGGCAGAGGTCAGGTCAGCTTCCTCAAGGGCCCTGTACCAGCGGTACTCCAAGGTGCCCTAGGAGTATCCCCCGTTACCTGGGAGACATAGGGCATGAGGTTGTTGGGGATGCCCTGGGGATCCTCGCCGATGCGGCCTGAGGCGTGGGCGCCCGTGGGGTTGAAGTACCGAAGCAGCACCGCGTTCCAGGCCTGTGGTGCAGGTCAGACAGTGGGGCTGGGGCACACGCAGTGAGTCCCAGCTCAGTCCACAGCCGGCTACCCCAGCGTGTCCATTCTGAGTTCTCTATGAATGAGCGAGGGGTGGCACCCGCGAACCACCTTAGGTGGTTCACCCTGCTGTGACCTTAGGCAGGGTATTGCCACGTCTGAGCCTCTGTCTCCGTGTGGTGGGAGTGCCCAGGGTCCCAATCCTGGCCTCAAGGTGAATGGGATGAAAGCTGGGGCAAGAGGTCCTCACCGAGTCTGCGTGGCACAGGTCCCGGATCATCTCCTCAATGAAGAACTTGGACTTTCCGTAGGGGTTGGTACAGCCCCCGGTGGGGTGGGCCTCATCCAGAGGCAGATACTGGGGGTTCCCGTAGACGGTGGCTGAGCTGCTGAACACCAGGTTCTTCACTCCGTGGGCCCTCATGATCTGGCCGTGGAGGGGAAGGTCAGTGGCCTGCGCCTCACCAACTAGTCCCATCTCTTACTCCACCCCAGCAGGGTGGGGCTGAGGCGATGGGCGCGCTCAGTTACAGAGAGGGAAACAGGCTGGGAGGTAAAGAAAGGCACGTGTCCAAGATAACACAGCTTGGGTCATTCTTCCACACAGGCCCTATTGTGGCCAGCATGCCAGGCCGCCTGGGACCCAGCTGGGGTCTGTGTCCCCTTCCTCTTACCTCCAGAAGCTGGATGGTCCCTGTTAGGTTAACTCTATAATAATCCAGAGGTTTCTGCACCGACTCGCCCACAGCCTTGAGCCCAGCAAAGTGGATGACGGCCTTAAAGCTGTGCTGCATGGGTAGAGCAGGGGTCAGAGGAGGCTCTGTAGCCTTGGCAACGCTCCTCCCACCTGCCAAGCAGCAACCACCTTTGTTTGTTTGTTTTGAGACAGGGTTGCTTTACGTGGCCCTGGCTGTCCTGGAACTTGTTATGCAGACCAGACTGGCCCCAAACTCACAAATGAGCTGCCTGCCTCTGCCTCCCAGGAGTTGGGTTTAAAGGCATGTACCCCCACATTCAGCTAGCACCCACCTTCTTAAACAGGTGCTGTAGGGCTGCCTGGTCCAAGATGTCCATCTCCTCAAACTCCACAGAGCGGCCTGTCAGTTCTTGGACCCGCCGCAGGCTCTCAGGCATGGAGTCCCCTCCTGGTGGGCAGGGAGAGGCTGTCAGCATTAGAAGATGGGGCCCTGGACACAGCCCCTCCAGAAACCACTCGTTGCTTCCCAGCCAGCGCTCACCACGAATGGCATTATGGAAGTTGTCGATGACCACGGGTGAGTAGCCTGCCTCCAGCAGCTCCAGGACTGTATGGCTGCCAATGTAGCCAGCCCCACCTGTGACCAGCACCTTCTCCGCCATGAGGTCTGCTTAGAGGACATAGAGTTTCAGAGGTGGCTGAGGGTGTCTGATCAGGGCCTCCCTCAGGGATGCTGGTCCCCTAACCTCACCTCAGAGGATGCACTTGTGGGCCCCAAGGAGGGGCTCCAGAGTCAGCCCTAGGTCTGACTGGATAACTGTCGCTTTCTGGCTATTTCTGGTTGAGGCGTCCCTACTCTCTCCAGGCCATAGCTTCTACTCTATGACTAATTATTGCACACATACCATGTGTTAGGAGGACCCCAGTGAGGTGATTTGGAGGTCTGCCACCTTATATATAGAAGTCAGACATGTCCCATGTCATATTGTCTAGTTCCCATTGATATGGGGGTGGGAAGAGGGGCCTTTTGAAGATCCACCCTTCCTGCCTCCCTGTCTGGAGAATGGGCAGTCCTGGGTAGAAGAGATCATGGCTTCAGGATTAGAATGCAAGAATTTGAAAAACAGATCTGTCCCTATAAACTCAGGCCCTCTCCCAGGAGCAGACACTTTCTGGGTTTGGTGACTAAAGCTAGTTCTCCAACAACCCTTCCCCTGAAGGTCAGTTGGCAGGAAGCAGAAAATGCAGTAAATGCCTTCAAGGGTGGGGTCCTGAGCCAGGGCAGCCAAGCCCAGCTCCGAGGCTGCAGTACCAGCAGCCCCAGAGCGGATGGGGCTTCTCCACCCTGGGGCAGCCAATAGCTCAGCTTTGGCCCAGCCGGGTCACTTCCCGGCTAGAGGCAACATATCCCGCCCAACTTGGGGCAGCCGGTGTCGACGTGGATTTGGCCCGCACTCCACTGCCAGGTGTGCATCCCCGCCCTGAGCAAACTGCTGGGCGGACAGAAAGGAAATCCACACAGTGAGGCCTTTCATTCTCGCGATCTGGCCTGCCCATCTCTCTCCAGGCTGCCTCAAGTGGCTGCTGGGATCATTCTGCTGCAACCCATTGGACTGGGCGCCCACTGCATGCCAGACTTACTACCCCGCGCTCGTGCGTTCCTCCCTTCCCCCGAGTTTCCCCCACATCTGGATGAGGCAGGTGTTTCCAAAGCACTTGGGTACTAAGGTCAGGATCCGGAGGCAGTCTGCCCGGGGTCACAGAGCAGTGAGAACTGGGCTGGCAGGGAATCCTAGCCTTCTCCCCGCTTCTCCCCGCTCCTCCCCGCTCCTCCCGCTCCTCCCGCTCCTCCCGCTCGGCGCACGGACTCGGTGTAGCGGTCACCGAGGGGCCCTGGAGGCAGAAAGGCTGCTCTGAGGCCACTCCGCTCCAGTCGGGGGCTGACCTTGGTCAGTTGTCCCCTCCTCAGTTTTCCCAGTCTGTACAATGGAGGGGAGAGAACGCTGGGCATCAGGAGCCCGGACGCGGCTTTTGGTCCTGGGCTGGGAGCGCGAGTGGGGAGCCGGGCCTGGAATGAATGGGTTCGGGTGGCCCCCACTACGGCCGCGGGAAACGCGAGCAGAAGGGGCGGGCCTGCCTCTGTCTCGAACACGACCCTCTTGGAACTCCCTCGTTCCCCGCCGACCACAGACCCTTCCGCGACCACTAAGCCCGTTATTCTGCTACCCAAACCTGCTGAGGATCCCGCGCTGGCTCCAGGTGCCGCCTCCCGCGACCTGCGCGGCGGCCCCTTTAAGAGCTGACAGCCCAGTGTGGCCACGCCCCCTTCACGCCCTCCAGAAAACGTGTCTGTTGGGTTACCTGCTCTACGGCGGCTCTGAAGGGACAGAAGACCTACACAGACTTCGGACAGCTCTGCAGTTCGTTTCCATCGAGGGCGGAAGTGAGGGACATGGAACGTCATCCTGTGAGTCGCAGACTGGCAGACTGCGGAGGAGAAACGGCCTGCACGGTGGCCTTCCTCGTCCTCATCCGTGGCAGCTGCACCCCGGATGATTGCAACCTGTTCCACTCTGAGCCTTTGGCTTCCGAGTTTCCGCTCATCTGCCAAGCCGCCAAGTCCTTCGTCGGGCTGCGCTATTTGGAGTGCATGGCTGGTCCGGACTGAGACCTGGATCCAAGCCCACTTTGGGAAAGAAAATAAAACCCTGGAGCGGAAAAGAACCTTTAAATCCTCAGTAGCAATTGCTTGCCCATCACTGAGCCACTGCCTCGCTCTCTCCCTCAAAAGTGTGTCTGCACCTATCCACCATATAGCAATTCAAGACACGGTTTTGTCTCGGTTAAAGTAAGAAGCGGGGCTGGAAGATGGCTCCGACCACTTTCTGCATTGGATCTGAGTCCTTTTCCCAGCACCCACATACCGCCTATTATTTCCATGCCCGCTCTGGCTTCCGTGGCCGCCTGCACATTCCTGACGTTCTCGCACATATAAGCAAAAATAAATCTTTCCTGGTGACACAGGCCTTCAATCCTAGCACTTGGGGGGCAGAGACAGGTGGATTTCTGTGAGTTAGAGGACAGCATGGTCTAGATAGAGGGTTCCAATCTGGCCATGAATGAACAGTGAGAACCTGTCTCAAACACAAAAACTTAAAAAAAAAAAAAGAGGCGGAGCTGGAAGATAGCGAATCAGTGAAGGGCACTTGTTACTCTTCACAAACTCCTGCAAGTGCAGTTCCAGGGGATCTACAACCATTCTGTCTTGGAGCTCCTGCAGTTCAGACACACACACACACACACACACACACACACACACACACACACTTCTTCAAAGTGGGAAGGAAAAGCTTCAGGAAGGCTCAGCAGTTAAGAGCTGGTGCAGGTGCTACTTTTTCTGAGAACGGAAGTTCAGTTCTTAGCACCTAGCCTGCTTGGTACACAACTGTCTGACGCAAGTTCCAGGATTTCCAATCTCTTCTGGACACTGTAGTCCCTGCACTTACACATGCACATACCCACACACGAATGCATGCATGCTCATGTGTGTTCATTCGTGTGCATGTGTGTGTGTAATTAGAAATAAATCTCAGGGGCTGGAGAGATGGTTCAGTGGTTAAAAGCAATTGACTGTTCTAGAGAACCAGGTTCAATTCCCAGCACTTACATGACAGCTCACAGCTGTCAGTAACTCCAGGGGATCCAACACCCTCTATACAGACATGCATGAAGGCAAAACACCAATGCACATAAAACTAAAAGTAAAAAATTTTTAAAGATTTTTTATTTATTATGTATACAGTGCTCTGGCTGCATGTATGCCAGCATGCCATAAGAGGGCACCAGATCTCATATAGACAGTTGTAAACCACCACGTGGTAGCTGGGAATTGAACTCAGAACCTCTGGTAGAGCAACCATTACTCTTAACCTCTGAGCCATTTCTCCAGCCACTCAAAGTAATTTTTTTTTTAAAAAAAAGGTCTGCCTTTAATTCCAGCACTTGGGAGGCAGAGACAGGAGGATCTCTGTGAGTTTGAGGTCAGCCTGGTCTACAAGAGCTAGTTCCAGGACAGGCTCCAAAGCTACAGAGAAACCCTGTCTCGAAAAACCGAACAACAACAACAAAAAAAGGCCTGGTAGTGGTGTTGCTTTCTTTTAATCCCAGCATAAATCAAGAGGCAGTGGCAGATGGAGGATCTCTTTAAGTTCAACATCAGCCTGGTCAACAGGTTGAGTTCCAGGACAGCCAGGGTTTCAGAGAGACCTTGTCTCAAGAAACAACAACAAAAAAATCTTAAAAGTAATTTTAAAAGAGGCAAGAAGTCAGGCATGTTGGCTCCTGCCCGCAATCCCAGCACCTTGAAGGCAGAATTGTTGAGTTCAAGGCCAGTTTAGACTACATATCAAAACCAATGTATGGTTTTGGAGTTTATGGAGATTGCAAGTCCATGAGGATTTGAGTTTGATACCCTAAACTCATATAAGACTTTTTTAAATTCAAGCTGGGGCTAGAGAGATGGCTCAGAGATTAAGGACACTGGCTGTTTTTCCAGAGGTTCTGAGTTCAAATCCCAGCAACCACATGGTGGCTCACAACCATCTGTAATGAGATCTGGTGCCCTCTTCTGGCCTGCAGGTTCAACACTGCACACATAATAAATAAACAAACAAACAAATAAATGTCAAGCTGACCATTGTCTCCATTTGAGCATGGGAGAAGCAGGGACAGATGGATTCAGATGGATTCCTGAAGGGAGGCTCACTGGCCAGTTAGCCAGTCTACCTGGCTAGGTTCAGGCCAATAAGAGACCTGTCTCACTGCTCCAGGAACAGAGGCACAGCCTCAAAAGCAACTCCTTAGGTCTCGGGAATTAACCCAGAGTCATGATTTCCAGTCACTGGACCTGGGGCTCAGTGTGAAGATGAAAGAAATCCAGGGATGAACCAGTCAAAACCTTCACTCTTCCTCAGAATGACCTTCTTCCCCCACTCATAAACAGATACACATTTGCATGATTGGATATTAGAAAATTAAACCTTTAATTACATAAGCTGTTTTCAAAAATCATGTACAGAGTGAAGATTTCCCAGAGATGCTGGGCTTGGCAGATGGCCAGCACAGCAGATCAGCCCCCACCATTTCAGCAAATGCTCTGCTGCTTTAGGGGGAAACTGTTCTGTTTTCCGAAGAGACACACAGGACCCACAGTCATGGCAGGGTGGACATCAGCTCTGTTTGCTAGCGGATTCGCCCAGGAGACCCAGGGCCATCCCAAACCAGTGCTCAGGCACTCAGCCCTGGGGAGCTGGCCCGCAGGGAAGGGGGACTTCCAGGCTCCAAGACCACTCAGTCGCCCCAAGGCCTGGCAGATCCTGCCCTTTCTGTCTAGAACCTTTGTGATACCTGCTCATTTGTCCGCATTCCATTTCCCCCAGCAAGGAATCATCTGAGCATGCCCACCTCCCCCAGTCCCACGCCTCAGGTGAACAAGGGCTCAGAGTTTGCAGGTGGCCTGTGCCACTTTGGAGCTGGTTTTTCTGCTCAGGGCTTGACAGATGAAGTCCCCAGCTTCGAGGAGTTTCTGGAGGTTCACACCCTGAAAGAAGTAAGTTAGAGGATGAAGTCAATCAGGGCCTGGGATGTTGTGTCCAGCAGGCACCAGGGTTCTTTCTTCAGAGTGGCTGTGGGACCTCCACCAGAAGAGGGCCTTATTAATCTTGTCTCATCTCCGTTCAGGGTCTAGCACAGGGCCTGGCCATGGAAATGTAATGTTCACTTATTTGCTTTTGTGTCTTTTTTTCCTGTGCCAGGAAAGGTACCCAAACCACTGCTCATGCTGGACAGCGGTTCTAGTACTGAACTGCATCCTCCCCCTACACAACTGTAAGAGCAGCTGCTATCCGCTGCTGAGTGCCCAGCGCTAAAGGGCCTCACCACCGATCTACACCTCTGGCCGTACATTTTCTTAATCCTGTAACAACAATACATTTGCTGCCATGACTAGAATTAGGAGAGATGAAATAATTTGAGGTTGCACAGCCTGTGAGGAACAGATTTGGGTTTTAAACCATCAGATCTTAAAGCAGAGACTCAGTGTGACTCCTGTGCCACCACTGATGTCCCTACAGAGTCTGGTGGAGCCCCGGGCGCTAATTTCACTGTCCTCATTTCGCAGAGAAAACAGGCTGGGGGCAGTGACCCACTACAGGCCATGAAGTCACCTCTCATGGCGGCTCTTTCCTCCCTTTCTGGGGCCTCCAGGAACTGGACTGTGGACATCACTCTGAGGTCTTAGTCTCCCGTGCTCATGATCAAATTCCCTTCTGCCATGCTGCTCCCTCTGCCAGAGACCCCTCTCCTCATTCCATCTTTGGCTGGCTCTTTCTCATCCTTGGAGCCTTAGTCTACTCCTTCTAGGCCACCAACCAAGCCTCTCCTACTGTTGAGACCCTGTCTACTGGTTCTTCATATACACACCCCAGGCTGCTCTGCCAGGGTCTCTAACCTCACAAGGGCCCGATCGCTGTATCAGCCATTTTCCACTCTCCTAGAGGATTGCTTAGTCTCTTCTCTGCTCTCTCAGAAATATAAAGCTCCCACAATCCCTGCCCTTCTCCTAAATGCCACCCACCCTAAGGATGCCCATATGCCAATCCTCTGGCTCCAGTCCAGGACTGCTTAGTTCAGGGATGTCACCACCAGGGGGCAGGCAGGCTTACCGTGTGAATCCCTAAGCCAGTCAGCATGTAGACCAGGTCCTCTGTAGCCAAATTCCCTGAGGCCCCTTGTGCATAGGGACAGCCTCCGAGTCCCGCCACAGAGGAGTCCACAACGCTCACTCCCATCTGGAAACACAAGGATGGTGAGATGTGGCTGCCGGAGCCTGGAGGCCACTGAAACTCTCCTCATAAGCCTCTTGCCCAGGAGTCAGGAATTCTGACAAAGCCATTCTCCTGCCTGCGATTCTACCAGGGGGAATCCACTGAGGGACAGAGTTTCTCTCCCTGGATCAGTAGCCTCCTTTGCTAGAGGAACTTCCCACATCTCTTCAGCTGACTCCTGGCTCCGCTTATCCCTTTGGGGTTGTCCCTATTGGGCCACCAGTCTAGCTCCTCAGTTCCAGCGACAATGGCACTGATAGTGGACTCAGCTTCTTTGGAGGTGTTCTGTCTTGAATAGAGTCAGAGAAATGGGAGGTTGGGGGTCTCAAAAGGATCTATAATGGGCTAGTGAGGTATGGCTCAAGGGGTAAGGTGCTTGCCAGAAAATGTGACAACCTGAATTTGGTCCCCAGGCAGAAGGAAAGAACCAGCTCCTTAGTTGCCCTCTACCTCCACAGGTGCCCGCATATCCTGTAAGGTCCTCAGGTGGAACACCAGCTATAGCCTGATGCCAGCATGGAAGCCAGCACCAGAGGGCGCCATTGCAGCAGGTTGCACCTGCTTACTCTCGCTCACACTACTGCCGCCAATGCCGCCTCCTTGTTCCCTGAACATGGCAAGCATGCCCTTCAGGCCTCTGCACCTGCACAGCATCCTCTAGTGTCCAATAAGTCTCAGTGACCTTCTGTGGAGAGCCATTCCCTTAACCTGGTATGTCTCCATCTGTGGCCTCAAATACTTTTGCTTCAGTATTTTTTCCAAGACAGGGTTTTTCTATGTAGACCAGGCTGGCCTTAAACTTACAGAGACCTGCCTGGTTCTGCCTCCTAAAGTGCTGGAATTAAAGGTGTATGCCACCCCCCCACCTCATCAATACTTTTATTAATAAATAAAATGAAGCTGGGCTGCTCTGTCCCATGCCCTCTTGGGGAATGGGCATATGGCTTTCATTACCTGCAGGGCTACCAAGGTGTTGGCCAGGGCTTGACCATAGGTATCATGGCAGTGGACAGCCAGTGCGGCCACAGGCACCTCACGCAGGACAGCAGTCAGCATGTCTTTCATGAGTCCCGGGGTGCCCACACCAATGGTGTCCCCAAGGGAGATCTCATAGCAGCCCATTGAGTACAACTTCTTGGCAACCTGGAAAAGCGAACAGACACTTAGAGGATCCCAGAGCCAGCGTGACTCTAGGGCTCAGAAGCATGAACTCTGCCCAGGCAGTTCACCTCTCTGGGGTGCTGTGTTCCTGTTGGGGCCCAGGTCCTGACCACTCCAATGGAAAGGACAAGCATTGCTCACAGGCTGGGAGACAGCCCAGAACAGAGGCAACCATGGCAGCGGCCGTGACTCCTCTGCTTCCTCCGCAGTGGCTGACGGGGATCAGGAAAAGGCCTTCCTTTGGCAATAGGATCTGTGGACTGTGAGCCTAAGATACTAGCTATGTACTTTAATGAGCCACAGGGAACTATGTAACTTTATAGAAACTCATTTGCAACTGGTCAGTCGCCACAGAGCCTCAGCAGCCAAAGTCACCCCTGCAGGAGGCTGCTCTGAGCAGAGGGAAGCGGTGGCAGGAGACACAGATGTTTACTGCTTACACAGATGTTCATCCTGATTAATGACACAGTGACATCCCATCCTTCACCCCTGCCCATGTGCCTACCAGGTGACAGTAGTGGCAGGCCTCAGGGGTCACGTGATGCTGAGTTCAAAAGTTCCCACTCTGTAGTCCACTGTCTACCTGCTTTGGGGGTGTGACTTCTCTGAGCTTCAATTTCTGTTTCTCGGACGTGGTGATGGGCTACAGGGAGGGCAGGTGACAACAGGAGTGGGGTGCACAGACCAGGGAACAGCAGCCACTGGAGCCCCCAGCAGCCCTGGGGTCATCTCTCTGACTAGATGCCACAAGGTATTGGGGAAGAACAAAAGGATTCTATAGAACGCAATGGATGAGACCCTAGCTGCCATCAGCACCTTAGGTGGCCAGTGACTTGCCTCCTCAGCTGCTCATGGAAGAACAGCATCAAATAGGCAGTGAGGTTTGCTGGATGAAAAGGCTGAAGTTCCTGGGTTACTCACACCCTGGTCCTATGCTGGGTCCTCCTCTGTGTAGCCATGGTTACTAGTCAAGAGGATGTGTGTGGTCTCTCACCTACTACAAGGAATCTGGGGACTCCTGGGGATACCACACTGGCAACCGTGCCTCAGCTGATGAGACTGGAATCTGAATGCAGGGCTTTCAGGTGGGGTAGAGACCTGGCAAAGAGGCGGCCTGAGGGGCAGGTGCAGGCTGTGCTCTCAGTGTGAGTGTGTGTGTGTGTGTGGGGGGGTAAAAACAGTGTCCTACTGGGGAAGGGAGGCGAGGGCACCTGTGCATGCAGGTTGGCAAGGAAGCCAACCCTCTCAAGACCTTGCCCACTGCACACACCTCAGCTACTTTAGCCGGGGAGACCTTCCCCTCGTAGGGGCATCCGAGGGCACAGGAGACATACCTGTGGAGAAACAGGAGGAACGGTGTCAGTGACCCCAGCTTGTCAGCCATCAGGAATGCCTGGTGACCATTTGACACACATCCCTGGTGAGGCCACAGTAAACATGAAGCTGGGCAGGAGGCCCAGTACTGGGTGAAAGGTTAACTCTGAGTGAGAGAAAGGCTCTTTGGCCTAGTTTCTGGGCGGGAGAGCTAGAGAAGCCTGCAGGGAAGGCGGGGCTAAGAGGCCACAGCTCCAGAAGCAGGGTTGCAGTGGTTGAGAACTCACAATAGGTACAAGGAGCCAGAGCGCCCCTGAGCTGTCTGGAGGGGCAGCCCCACTTGCTGGGGAAGATGGATCAGTATTCAGGTCACCAGGGCCAGGATGAACACACAGGTTAGCACAAGAAGACAAGAACAGATGAGTTGGTATCAAGGCTGGGGGGCCCGATGGCTCATCTACTACTCAGTTGCTGTTTCCTGAGATGAAGAGGATGTGCCAGGCCCTGGGCAGAGCCCTGAGAGGACCCACGAATGGGCCCTCGCCTCCAGAAGCATGTTCAAATCAGGAAGATGGCAAATAAGACTGCAGTCACATTAGGAGGGGGAGATAATTCCAGAAAGAGACGCGTCGTGAAGGACGCAGCAATAGGAGGAACCACGAGCAAGCCATGCAGCAAGGGTTGCTAGGCAGAGCTCCCTGAGGCCATGGGGCCAGAGTTAGAGAGGGGAGGGTCTTCAGGAAGCATGTTTCCATCAAGGCCAGAATCTGACATACTAAGGATAGAGCAAGGAACAGAACATCTAAGGCATGGGGAGAGATGGGGCAAAGAAGGAAGACATGAGACAGGAGGGGAGCCCAGGCCTGACCCACGATAGTCGTGTGGTCTGTTCTCAGCACCCCTGCTGGCACTGGAGCATCTTTATTGAGTTAGGCTGAGGGTGGTGGTTCAAACCTGTAATCCTAGCACCTGGGAGGCTGAGGCAGGAGGATTGCCAGCCTTGGTGACATGAGTTCTAGGCCAATATGAACCTAAAGAATGAGATGCTATCAGAAAAAACCAAACTGAACCAAAAACCCAAACCCTTCATGGTCAAGTAAAATATTCTACTAAGAGATGGAACCAGGAATGGAGGTGCATGTCTTTAATTCCAGCACTCGGGAGGCAGAGGTAGGGAGATCTCTGTGAGTTCCAGACCAGCCAGGATTACACAGAAAGACCTTGTCTCAATAAACAATTAATTAAATAAAGTATATCAATCAAAATAAATTAACATTTGCTGGATCAACATTCCAAAACTCTTGGTATGCTTTCCACCTTAATTTTCCTATTTACTCTGACATTGCTAAACAAGAAATAGTGGTTGGTGGCACAGATATCTGACCCCAGCACGCAGGAGGCAGAGGCAGGCGGAACTCTCAGTTCAAGGTCAGTCTGGTAACAGGATGAGTTCCAGGATAGCCAGAGCTACATAGTGAGACTGTGTCTCAAAACAAGCAAACAAAACCAAAGCAAAACAGCAACAACAACAAAGTAAGAAAGAAAGGAAGGAAAAAGAAGAGAAAGAAGAAGTTAAAAGATTCACCAGGACAGAGCACAGCCTGGGGGACACGGCTGGAGACCCAGCTTCCCTGCTTCCACCTGCTTATCGGGTCTTGAGCATCTCCTGTGTGTCAGGCCCTGCGAAGGGAAAGCACAGCACCCAGGAACTGCAGGAAGTGCCCTGCCCTGGGAGAGAGCACAGCCCAGTGTGGTGAAGGCGGCTGCAGAGCTAGACAGCTAAGTGCCATGTTTCAAGATGTCAGAAGACTTTGGAACCCCAAAGGAGGGGCGCTGTCTCCTGTTGGGGGACAAAGAAAACCAAGTGGAGCTGACATCCATGGAGGACCTTGCAGGTGAGTGCACAGGCCTCATGGCAAGAGACAGAAGGCATGTGGCAGGGGGTTAGAGGCTCCACCAGGGCTGGAACACAGAGCCATGAACTATTGTTCATGCTGCAGAATGCCAGGGTGATGCGCATGGGGTCCTGAGCACAGTAAAAGCTTCCCTCGCTGTGCACAGCAGTGGTAGAGTGCTTGCCTAGCAGGCTGCAAGGCTTCATCGGTGCTGGGTCTCGGCCCCAGCTCGAGACAGGGTTTCTCTGTGTAGCCTTAGCTGTCCTAGAACTCAATCTGTAGACCAGACTGGCCTCAAATTCATAGAGATCTGCCTGCCTCTGCCTCCTGAGTGCTGGGATTAAAGGTGTGCATTACCACTGCTTGGTCCCAGTCACTGTATTTTGTTGTTGTGTTGTTTGGCTTTTGTGTTTTGAGACACATTTAAAGGCATGCACTAGCAGGCCCCAAGCCACCAAGGCCTGGCTTCCCAGTAAGAATCAAAACCTGGGGCTGGGCATGGTGGCACATGCCATCCCAGCACTGAAGCAGAGGCAGATGGATGTCTGTGAGTTCCAGACTGGCCTGGTCTACACCTGATCAGTCACCAAATTTATGTCTGAGAGAAACCCCAGTTAATCTTCTGCCTCCACTCCCTCGGAGAAAGGTTCAGTTGTGGAGTTTGGGTTGCTCCCGTCCAGCAGGAGTCTGAGGTGGAGAGACGGGTGGGTGGGAGAATCTGGTCCATTCCACCAGGACACTGAGGAAGCAGCCCTGTGAGGCCTGACTCACCCTCTCACAGGGATGCTGGAGGCCTGTGCGGCCTTCATGACTCCATCAAAGCGCTGGAAACTCTCTTCTATGGAGCAGTTCACATTCTTCCGCGTGAAGAGCTCAGAGGCCGCCCCAAAGATGCTTACTTCCTTGGCTCCTGCAGCTACCTGCCAACACCCAGGTGAATACCTTTAGCGCCCTGCTCCTGGAAGAACTGGTCCCATGGCAAAACCTTTCTTGTGGCAAGTTGGATGGTATGTGACTGTTACAGGCAGCACAGCATATAAATATCCTTTAGGGAATAGGCTGGGGCAGGCGAGACGGCTCAGGAGGTAAAATGCATGTGCTGTCAATCCCGATGACCTGAGTTCAATTCCCCAGGACCCACACGGGAGAAGGAGAGAATCAAGTCACTCAAGTTGTACACTGACCTCCATATGAGTGCCACCGCACACACATATGTGTGCACGCACATACACAGGTAGGTAAACAAATTTAATAATAATAAACAAATTATGTGGCCATCCCAATATCTAGTTCCCCAGAACATGACCTTACGTGGAAATAGAGTCACCACAAATGTAACTAGGTAAAATGAGGTCAGAATGGAGCAGGATGGGCCCCTAATCCAGAATGACCAGTGTCCCTAAAGGATGGCTGTGGGAAGAAACGCGGAGGGCGACCTGGGGGTGGAGGCGGGCACTGGAGGGAGGCATGTACACCAAGCTATACCAAGGCTAAGTGCTCATCCTGGTCACTAGAAGATGTATGCGACCCCCTGGCCTCCAGAACGTCAGACAGTAAAGCGATTTCTGTTATAGTTTGCAGTATTTTGAAACTCACAGCAGATCTGGGAAACTTATATTCAATTAGAAAACAAACCAAAAGGCTGGGGAACGTAGACATTACAAGCGGCGGGGGTTGAGCAGCCACTGCAGAAGCACCCAAGCTCAGCGCTGGTACCCTTCCCTAAAGCAGTGAGCGATGCGTGCTGCAGAGGGCACAGCACTTAAGAGCGCTTGCTGCTCTTGCATGGGATCGGGGTTGGATTCCCAGCATCCACAACTGTTGTAACTCCAGTTCCAAAGGACCTTATGTCCTCTTCTGGTCTCAGCAGGCATTGCATGCGCACGGTGCGCAGACATTCAGGCAAAACACCAGAACATATAAAATTAAAAAAAATCTAAAAAATGAAAAAAGAAGTGGGTGATTGCAGGCCCTAATTGTTATATACAGCGAGCGCGTGTCTCTCGGGCTCTTACTGAGCACTGCCTAAGGGAAACAAATGGGCTCAGCTGTAAGCACCATGCTCAGTCCTCCTTCACGGGCAGATCTGAAGCTCACAGGTTAAGCAATTTATCAAGACAACAGAGCAGTGAGTGAGAGGGCTGGACTACTTCACCCTGGTCCCCAATCTGATGCTGCTCAGAGGGCCATCCCAGGACAGGACCGGTAGATGAGGCAGGACCTATATGGTCAACCTCTTACCGCTTCCTCGAAGCCTTTCACATTTGGAGTCAGGACTGGATAGTTGACGCCAGGAAACTTCTGAATGCCCTTCAAGACTTCAGAGTGGTCAGCCATCTGGGAGCCAAAGAAGCCAAGAGCTCAGTGCTAGAGAGACCCTTCTCACCACTGAATTTTCTGTTTCCAATACTCTCCCTATCTGTCTGACCACTGAGGGCTCAGGAGACATCCTAGGCAGTGTGACCTTGGTAGCTCCTATGGTCAGTACTGACAACTCTGTGGTACCCTCAGTCACAGCCAGCAGCAGCCACTTACCCAGAACCTTCTCTGGTGGGCCCTGGACACCACTCCCTCTGCATTGCCTGGCACTCACTGTCATGGTTTGCCCACCCTGTGAAGGGGTCCTTGCAGCAGATGGGCATGGGGATTGTATGTGCTAGGAGAGCCTCAGAGGCCACCTCTATCTTGAGAGTGCAAAGGCCTCACTTAGCAAGGGCTCCAATAAACCAGGGCAGAGCCCAGACTGAGGCAAAGCCCCTGGCTCCCAGGTTATGTCCTTCCTGTGCTACACAGTGCTGAGACTCACTTGAGACCCCTGAAGCCAGAGATCTGGGAACCTATGCTTCCGACAGCCAGTGGCTGCAAGAGCAAATGGGGGGACTCCCCACCATCCCATCTGGGACAGGCTTCTTCTGGAGGCTGGGCTCACCTGGGGCACCCACTTTGGAGAGACAAAGCTGGTGGCTTCGATAACGGGGAGCCCTGCTTCGGAAAGCATGTCTATCAGCTTGATTTTCACTGGGGTGGGTACAATGTTCTGTAACAGACAGAAACCCAGAAAAGGCAAGTCAGCAACACTGCTACCGAAAACCACCATTTTCCTCCGATGTAGACTCTTCCTGAACTCGATGTGCTGGTTTACGACCCCATCATAAACTGAGAGCAAGGTGCCTGGGTTAGAGTGAGCAGAAATGAATCCTCTGCTCTGAGTGCTGTGGATGGGTAGACCCCAAGTACCACGTTTTTCTCTCACACAGCTTCTTTTTCTTCCTTCCCCACATCGAATCACTCAGCAGAGCCTATGGATTCCTTTCTAATCTGCCCCCAAGATCCCAAGTGTAGTATGGCTCTGTCAACTCAGTCTAAACTGGAAACTTCCTGAACTGCAGTCTCCAGTGCCTCACTTTCCTGCCCAAAACCATCCACGAGGGGCTGCAGAGACAGCTCAGCAGTAAAGACTGCTTGGAGGACCCATGCTCAGTTCCCAGTACTCTAGCTAGGCAATTCACAAATGCCCATTAACTTTAGCTCCAGGGGATCTGATGCCCCATTCTGACCTCTATGGGCACTGCATGCATGTGGTAGGTATACACACACAGGGACGGACACACACACACACACACACACCACACAAATAAAAATAAACTTTAAGCTGGGTGGTGGCAATGGTGCAAATAAATAAATATTTAAAAAACCTTTTTTTTAAAAGAAAGCCTTTCATGGCTTCTTGGTGCCAGTCAGTAGGATTATGGTACAGATCCTGACAATTCCCGACCTGCCCGTCATCTTCCCCAGGTTGTAAGCCATCATGTGGGTACTGGGAATTGAAATTGGGTCCTCTGAGCAGGAAGCACTCATAACCACGGAGTCAATGTCTCCAGTCCCCTCACAAGCCACACATCAAGTGCTCCAAAGCCACACATGTTGCTACCATAAATGGTGTATGAGCTACATTCAAAGTTATCCTTGGCACATGAGCCCTGTGTGTACAGACTGGACACGTGACTCATACTCAGGTGCAGAACACTCCCACTTTTGAGGGAGTTTTATGCTTCTTTCTAAGTAAATACATCCACACATACCTAGGCCTATTTCTTCCACATAGGAGTAAAGTTGAATATATATTCTGTTTTGCAGCCTGGCATCATCCAATATTCTTGTATTAATAGCTGCATAATATTCCAGCTTCTCAAAAGTCCATAATGTACCTGACCCAGCTTCCCTGGAATGCTCCAAACAGACACGTGAGCCATCGTTCCTGAGCCCACTTCCGTCTTTACCTTTTCATTCTGCAGACCATCGCGGGGACCGACTTCCACAATCTTCACCCGCTTCGGGAAGGCACCCATGGATGACGTGCCAGCCTTTGGTTTAAAAGAGGAAACCCAAGTGTCAGGACTTAGAACAGGACCACACAGAACACAAGGCTCTTCCTTCGCTACTGCGAGCAGCCAGTTTCTCCCTATTTAACTCCACCTGGTCTCTTTCAGGATTAAGACAAAAAAGCAAAATATGCTTTGGGCAGGAATGAGCAAGAAGCCGTGCATCCAGACAGATCCTCCTCTGGTTCAGCACTGCCGCCTCCCATTTGACAGCCTCCTTTCCACACTTCTCATTCAGCAATCCCCAAAGCCCACACTGCACCAACACTCACTTGACTCTATCCTGTCTGTCTCTGCGAAAGGCATCACCTGCGCCCTGCTGCTCAGCTGGACTCTGACTCACCCCTTCACCCTGCCTTGGAGGCTCTGACCTCATTACTCACCCCTCTTTTCTGCTCCATTCCCTTCTACCCTCTGCCCAACACGTCACTATGCTCCAGTCCAGCAGGGCTGCCCTCTGCCTGGAATGCGCACCGATTCTTACACCCATCAATCACTAAGTGAGTCGGGGCGCCTTCCTCTGATCTACTATTCCATCACCTTTGGTACTTTATATTTCACAAGACTACAACGAATGCTTTCCCTATAAGCCGGGAGACCTTGTCTCTCTCCGCCCCCATCTCATCCTGGCTGGCACTGTCCTGGCAATGCATTCAGTCACATTACGGGAACAACAAATGACGCACGAAGGGTCTAGTGTCCAGAGGACACCGCTGAGCACCAAGAGGAGTTAGTCTCAGACCCCACAGCGGTGATGAGGATATGACGGCTTTGCTAGCTACGTTAAGGCTTCTCTAAAGTCCAATTCTGCACTGATGGATGACGTGAGGGACATCAGGTCTGAGGAGATGACATCCCCAGCAGCTGAAGAAAATATTTTTTCCAAAAATTTAAAGCCTTTAGTTCACTGTGCATCAGGTCTGCCGCAAATCTTCCCCTAACCACCTACAGATTGTCAATTGTTTATTTATTTTACGTGTTTGGGTATTCTGTCTGCATGTATGTCTATTCGCCACGTGTGTGCAGTGCCCTCATAAGCCAGAAGGCATCAGATCCCCCGGACTACAGCTACAAATGGTTGTGAGCTGCCAGGTAGGTTCTAGAAACCAAGACGGAGTCCTCTGGAAAGAGCAGCGATCACTCTAAACCGCGGAGCCACCACCTCTCCAGGCCTTCCCCCACCCCAAATAAACATCCTGCAATGGGGCAAAGGGAAAGATGCACTGCACAATACACCAAGGACTCCAAGCCCATGCAGCCACGAGTCAGCTGCAATACCTCCGCGCCCTTGCAGTGGCTTTGGTTTCTGGCAGACCAAGGGGACAAGGCCCTGGATTACAAGAAGTGGGCGAGCTGAGTGAAGGTCCCTGCTCCTGGAGTCTCCCCTCAACTGAGACGGTCAGCCTCTGCTGGTGTATCATCCCAAAATGACGCCAGTGGAGCTTAAGTGTCAAGGGCCAGGAACTTGGCTCTACCCACTGCTCTTCCCAAGGCCCTGGGACACAACAGACTCAGCAAGTAAAGGCTGAGGCAAAACATGCCTCCTATTTTCTTAGGAACAGTTGACCTCAGCTCTACTTCTTTCGCTATAACTGCTCTTCAAATAACAACAAAGGCCGGGTGTGGTGGCTCACACCCCTAATCCCAGCACTTAGGGATGGAGGCAGGAGGGTCCGAAGCTCAAGGGTGTCTCTGGCTACCTAGCAAATGTGAGGCCAGCCTGAGACAGGAATGATCTTATTTTTAAAATGTACCCAGAGGCTGAGGAGATGGCTCAGTCACTGGAGTGCATATTGCTCTTACAGAAGACCCACGCTGGGCTTCCAAACACAGGTCAGACAGCTCACAACTGCCTAAGTTTAGCTCAAGGAACCTGATACTCTCTTCTGGCATCCATGGACACCTGCATGCACACATGAATTTATATAATTCAAAAACACATAAATGGTGCTGGAGGGAAGGCTCAGCAGTTAGGAGCACTTGATGCTTTTCCTGAGTTCAGGTCCCAGTACCCGTGCCAACTGCCTATAATTCCAGCCAGCCTCCAAAGGCACCGGAACACACATGGTACACATTTACACGGACAGGCACACATAACAAACCAATAATAAAAAACAAAACAAGAGGCTGGAGAGATGGCTCACTGTTCAAGAGCACCGGTTGCTCTTCCAGAGGAGCTGGGTTCAATTCCCAGGACCCACAACACAGCTCCCAACTGTCTGCGACAACAGCTCCAGGAGATCCTGCACCCTGACACAGACGAAACACCAACGCGTACGGAATAAAGTTAAATAAAGGCAAAAACAGAAACCACGGCTGACAAGAATTAAGACACTTGCTGCTAAGTCTGACGGCCTGAGTTCCACCCCTGGAACCCACACAGTCGGACAAAACCGGCTCCTGAAAGTCGGACGGCCTTTGAACTTTCATTAGGGTATGCTCACATATAAACAAGCAAATGAATAAATATAATTAAAAACCAAATAAAAGTGAAAAGTGACGGCTTTTCATTACATTCCATTACACCAGGTTTTTAAAAATGATTACGATCTAGCTGGGCATGGTGTAATGTCTGTAATCCTAAAGGCAGATGTAGGCTGACCTATCTCTGTGAGTTTGAAACCAGCCTGGTCTACATCATGAGTTCTAGGACAGCCAGAGTTACATAGAAAGATACTCTATCTCAAGTAAACAAAACATTATTGTCCACCATCTCATTTCCTAACCTCTTAAGTTGCAGTTGGCATTTTCATTCGATCCCTGAGCAATCAGTGGAGCTGGGTAGACTAAAGATACAGAAATGGTTTTCTGAGAGAGACCACGAGATGCAAAGGAAGTAGTTTTCCCAAGTACTGATTGATATACTGCCTAAACTCAACAATAATAAGCCCATCATTGAGCTGAGGATGTAGCTCCGTGGTAGAGCAGTGAAGTGGGAAGCTAATCCCCCCAAACCACAACTCCATCAAAACACCACCCATGACTGATCACTCACTAAATCACCCTGAGACAAGCTATCCATTTCATGTACAAGCAAGCTGAGGGAAATCCGTCACTCAGCCTTGAAAGTGGCAAGCTCATCCGGACACCAGTTTGCGGTTTAACCAGCACTCCTTGGCCCTTTCCCTCCCCTCACTGTGCGTGGGAGAAGACCGAACACCAGGATCGCACAGGCTCAAAGTACAGTTCCGAGGGACTCCCTGCCCGACCCACGCGATCCACGTTCTCCGCGGGAGTTCAGAAAAGCAACAAGACCCGGGGAAAGCGGCAAGCGGGGATGCTTTTTTCCAGGTGGGCCGTGTTTTTCACTAATGAAGGGCTGGGGAGATCCGAAGCTCAGTTAGGGAAAGGAGCCAGAGCCACCGTAATGGAGTTAGGACACCCAGGATGATGTCCCAGGTCTCCACATTGACAGAGGGTTGCTTGGCTTCACAGGCCTTAGTTGCCCCGTTTCTTGCAAGGGATCTGAGCCAGACCGGCTGGATCCCGAACTCTCAAGCCCTCCCGGATTCGGCCCCTGGAGCTGACCCACTTCATCTGTCAGAGCAGCCGACGAGGCCCACCCGACCCCGACTGTCTCCCGCTTGGGGCACTTACAGCCCGGAGGGACGCCAAGCCCACCAGCCTTCGCGGGAAAGCTCTCCTCACTGTTGCCATCTTTGCTCAGAGTTCCCGTGGCCACACCCTCTGGGTCCCACGTGACTGCCGATCGCTCTGTGGGCGGAAACAGGCATAGGGCGGGGCCTTGTGCGTGACGTGAGATTCCCAGAGTTGGCTCCACCCCCACCCCGCCTCTGTTTTCTTTCCCTGCTGGTTACTCTGGTTCTTCTCCGCGCCACGGAACTGTTTTTTGGTTTTGTTTTGATTTTGGTTTTCTGATTCTATGTAACCCACACTAGCCTGGAATTTACATATCATCCAGGTTGTCCTCCTACTCATGGAAATCCTTCTGCCTCAGCCTCCCGGATGTTGACAGGAGTAAGCCACTACGTCTTGCCCATTCAGTATTTTCCAGGCTTCTGTTATAAAACACAAAGGAACAAGGAATATAGAGATGGTTAAAACTTCAGTCGGGTATGGTGACGCATGCCTGCCATCCCAGCACTCCAGAGGCAGAGGCAGGACTGTCCCCAAGTTTGAGACCAGTCTGGTCTTTATAACAAGGTTCAGACCAGTCAAGACTTCATAGAGACGCGAGAGAGAGAGAGAGAGCGAGCGAGCGAGCGAGCGAGCGAGCGAGCGAGAGAGAGAGAGAG